ATATTTTGACAAACCCAATTGTTTTCAAGACATTAGGTCTTTTTTCCAGGCAATTAACATTTTACACATAGTTTTGGAAATTGTGACCCTCGAATTTTTTTTCCCATACTTTCATTGGCACCCTATGCTAAGGCAAAAATGGTACAAATACATGGCTCTAAGAACACTAAGTTGAGAAGCGTAAAGTCCCAGTGGGAACGCGATAAAGCCAAACAAGAATACTCACATTGCTGCTCATTGTGTGGTTTTTAAACTTGTAGTCGTCGTTTATTACAAATCTGTTGGTTCTCTGTGTAATTACAGCTGATCTGGCAATAACGGAGTAGCAACCACTGGCGGTCAATCATGCTCTTGCTCATTTAGATACAATTTCATTGTAATAGCATTAGCATCACGTTGATTCTTTTATCAAACATACAATTTATTCCTTTATGTACACAGATTCGCTTCCACGTTTAACGCTCCACTAGTTATCTTTATAATATGTAGGGTTTTTGATCTAATTTCCGTCTTACTAAGCACAACCCGCGCTTTACCTCTCTTTTCTGAACGAGTTTAAACAAAAAATGGAACATTTCTGTCAAAGATGACTTCTAAATTTATTAACCTTTCCATACGTACCGTTAGATTTGATAAAGAGTCACAAATTGTTGAAATATTGTTTAAAATCTAATACTGCTTCTTGATTCTAAATTCGTTCTACGAGTTTCAATTCCGTCCTAACGCATTGAAACGCCATAAGATTTTCTTCGTCCTACGGATAAACGCTAGGAGCGCTTCTTTTGTTTTGAGAGCAATGAGTGTAAATATTCACACAATGCGTTCTAACAGGATTTATGTTGTAGCTAATGAACTAACGCATCGGAACAAACCTATTATTGATTTGTGCACAGTGAAAACATTGTTGTTATTGATCTTTTCTGATCGATAGAACGTAAATAGGCGATTACGACGAAGTAGTGCTCTACCCTATGTACATACAACTCAAACTTTATACGAGCGCTACACAAGCTAGTGTACGAAGCAAGAGAAATAGTCCTTCGCTTATGAAAAGTTTGTTTTTGTCCTGATTCACTGCTCGTTGCATGTTGCACATTCTTCCATAGGCGATGACGCGCCGCATACGCTCTTCATCGTGCATTTGCATGCACTTTCGAATAGGAACGTGAATGAAAACTCAAATTGGGCCGATTTTTCCATTTCTCTTTTCTTCTGATGGTATTTTTTCACATGTTTGACCAGTGAGATACATGAGACGGCGGTATTGGAAATCTTTTATAAAGAGCAGATATCTAGGCCACTCTGTGACCTTCCGCCCTACTGAGATCGATGTTACCGTGTTTATTTGGAGATTATTTTCACGTTCAATTATTCTTTGTTACTGTACGCAGAAGGTGTGAGATGCCTGCCTATACCTTTTTGTGGTGTTTACTCGTTTTTGTTGGTCAATTTTAGGATACCTACTCAGGGTTGCATGCAGTCACTTGCCATACAAAATTGTTTTTCTGAATTGAATTGAAATCATTACTAGATAAACATTTCAAAAGGTCCTATCTGCATTGATCGATTCTCTTCATCGACTTTCTCTTTCGTCAATAACTCAGCTGCAAAATCTTTCCCTGTTGTATTTGACGTTTTGGACGCTAGATAAGAACCTCCTTTATCAAACTATGTGGTAGAATTAGCGCGAAATCTGTTTGCATAGCAGTGGCTGTGAAAAGATAAAGTCGATGAAGAGAATCGATCAAAGCAGATAGGACCATTTGAAATGTTCATCGAGATTAGATGTTATAAATAAACATAAGCTTTAGTAAGCTACAAGAAGGGACTGTAAAGTATGTGTTTCGTGAGCGGTTACTCTGATTGAACGCTCACGAATCGTAAAATCGTTTACAAGTTCAAAATATCATTATAATGTCTAATGATTTCATAATTCCCAAAAACATTATTTATAGCAAGTGAGTTGAAGCAACCCTGCTACCAAAGATGAATACTAAGATGAAACCAAAGATGAATACTAAGATGAAACTGTCGGAAGAAAAACTTTCAATTTTAGTGTCCTTTTTCGGTTCCTTTCATCCAATGAATACCCCCAGTATGCAAGGTAATTTTGTGGTGTTGCTGCCCCCTCGGTAGAGATGAAGTTTTGCGCGCTTTTTTATCAAAACAATCACACCAAAATCAGAGATGTCCCATTTTTTAATTACTCGATTAACAACTAATCGATTTTTTTTGTTCGCTGTGCTGTCATTTTTTCATCAATGAGAGTGCAAAACTTGTTTGAAACGATCGGTGATGATCCTCTGCAGAAGTTAATGCTTAAATCGGCATGATATAACCGATTACAAATATTTTACTGTTCGGTTCGTTAATCGACTAATCGATTATTCGAATGAAAATCGGCCATCACTAGATGAATGTGAAACGTCATTTAAAATATAAGGACCGTACATAAATAATGATACGATTTGAAAGGGACCGGGGCTAATCACAAATTACGTCCTCAAGGTAACTGAAATAAACACGAGTGTTCACCGGTTGATGAAACTGTCCGAAGAAAAACTTTCTATTTTAGTGTCCTCTTTCACGGTCCCTTTCATCCAATGAATACCCCCCGTATTCAAGGTAATTTTGTGGTTTTGCTACCCCCTCGGTAGAGATGAAATTTTGCGCTCATTTTTATCAAAACAATCACACCAAAATCAGAGATGTCCCATTAATTACTCGATTAACAACTAATCGATTATTTTTTTGTTCGCTGTGCTGCCATTTTTCCACCAATGACAGTGCAGCACATGTTTGAAACGATCGGTGATGATCCTCTGGAGATGTTAATGCTTATATCGGCATGATATAACCGATTACAAATATTTTACTTTTCGGTTCGTTAATCGATTAATCGATTATTCGAATGAAAATCGGCCATCACTAGATGAATGTGAAACGTCATTTAAAATATAAGGACCGTACATAAATAATGATACGATTTGAAAGGGACCGGGGCTAATCACAAATTACGTCCTCAAGGTAACTGAAATAAACACGAGTGTTCACCGGTTGCTGCTACTTTATGAAGAAGCTTCCAATGACAGCTGTCGTTGGCTACCCTCTCCATTTTGCCAAGCATACCTACCACAGTGATAAACATATGCAAGCGAATTGACTTCCTAATAGGGGAAATTACTCTAATGTTGACCGATTGTGTCCATCGATGAAAATCTTCTATTCCCAAATTTTTAGTAGAAGATTTCGTCGTATGTACAATACAAATGGATATTTTTGGATGCTAGTGAACTTTATTAAAAAATGCTTTCCCAAAGGGTCTGAGTTCAATCCCAGTCGGCGTCGCCGGGATTTTCTGAGGCATAAAATCTCTGATTACGTCTCCGGTTCATGAGTTGATGGGTCGATAGGTAGGGTTCAGGTGTGGGAGCTGCTTTCCTGGCGTCGGTAGCATTGGTACTCAGTATGGAAAACAAGATCGAGGGAAAACAAATTCAGGAAAAAAATGTTTTCCTTCGAATTATCATGAGTCTAATACTAGGGACATTAACCCTATGTAATCCTATCCTCATGAATGTATGTATCCTGGTGAAAAAAAAAACTGCTTGAGGAACATCCATAAATGACGTTGCATTCTTTTGACCACTTTAAGACTCCGTCCTTCCTCTCGAAGTGCTTTTTGCTAATCCTAATCCATGAACAGTCGCAACTTCTAAACCAAAAAAGTGTTACGTCAAGTAAGAATGTGAAAATTATTCGATTATGCTATGTTCAGATTAGGGAGTTATAGTAGATATATGTTAACAAGGCTATCTTAATGATGTCTAAATACATGTCGATAATTTAGACGAATTGCATAATAAAACTTGTATGGTGTTTGCAGTACTCTCTCAGATTCAAATGATTTGTTGTGGGTTTTTATACTTTGTCTACTAAATCAACTTAACATATTTGCTTTCCTATAAAAGATTTTGGACTACCATTTGAGAAGGGCTGCACTTTTTTTTTCAATTTAAAAAATTTATCATTGTAGCTCGATATCCTCCCTAACTTGATGGTCTTTTAAATACCGATTTAAAGAGAGTTTACTGTACTACTCGATGTACCTTTGAAAAAGTCATATCTGCTTTGATCGTCTTTGTATTTTAATAATCACTGCTATGCAAACAGATTTCACGCTATTTTTACCAACTAGTTTGGTAAAGGAGGTTCTTATATAGCGACCAAAACGTCAAATACATTAGGGAAAGGTTTTTCTGCTGAGTTATTATCGAAAGAGAATCGATCAATGCAGGTAGAACCTTATGAAATGTTGATCTAGAATAAGAGTTGCGGAGATTCCCCCTGCGATCCCCAAGTTTTTAAATTCTGTCACTTGGGAAACCCCAGGGTTCCCAGAGACGAGCCAGCCAATGACTGAAAGTCTCTATAATATAATAACTCTCGCATTCTGGCAATAATTTTGATGCCAAGGAATGAAATTTTGACTGACAAAGGGGCGTGCTTTTGGAGGGTGCTCTCAATCTTCGAAGGATATAAATAGCGGGACCTTTCAATTAGAATCGGTAAACTAAGGACACGGGACATAATACAATAGATCAGATTACTAGTCGCAGTGATTCTATGTCCCGAACAGAGGAAAAAAAAAAGATAGGCCAATATGTGAGCGTAAGTCCATTTGCGCCTTCATCGTTATGCCATATATCTCAAAAACGAGTATGTACCAATGATGATTTGCTCCAGGATACATATCTTTCACGTTGGCCTTATGCATCATTATGGGTACTCGGGATACTTGGGTAAGAGAAGGAGTGTTGTTACGGCGAAGAGATGATTTGTAATTTGGAGAGAACACTTTCTAGTAGTGAGTGGTTCTATTTTTCTACCCCTAGCCGCTGAAACTATAAAAACAAAATAAAATTTTATTTTTCAGATTACTTCATGGTAAGTGTATTTTCTACAATTTTTAGAATAGTTACAATTTTCTTGTTTACAATTTATTTGCACTTAATATTCATATTCCGCGTAAATTTGGCACTGATCTCATCGACATCATTCTTAACTGGATGCGAGTTGCTATCAAGATCTCTCAAACGTTGGTTTTCCTGGTAATAAAATTCTTTTTTCTGCGATGGTTTCATGAGAGTAGCTTTCCGAATAACTCTCGCATTCTTGCAATATTCTTGAGGGTTGTAGGCAGGCACATTGGAATCATCCCAACACTCGTCATCATCTTGTAGAGTTTTCCCAGGAGCCTTGAGCGGCTCCCCGTTGTAATATTTCGACTCCGGAACAGAACCACGATAGCCCATGAAGGAGGGTTTGTCGTAATTCATGTTGTTGTTGTTCTTTTCCGACACATTTTCTAGTTGTTTGTGCCTTCGTTGTTCTTCGTGATGAAACTTTTGCTTATCCGACGGCTTCATAAGGGTTGCCTTGCGGATGACTTTAGCAGTTTTGCAATACTGCTGTGGATTGTATGTAGGAACATTTGAATTGTCCCAGCATTCGTCTTCCTCTAAAAGGGTTTTGCCCGTCCCTTCTGTAGGGATAGCATGATGATAGATCAGCTCAGGTTCTTCGTCTTTATAATCCTTACTGTTGTTGGACGCATAACTCGATATGCAGTATTTGTACAGCTCGAACGTTGCACGATCGTCACAGTTGTCTATATGTAACTTCAGTTCCGGCCCTGGTACGCGGTGGATCGTGTTGAATGGACAGCATACTAGCTTTGTTGAATGATTATTTTTCCTACACTTGAATAGATGTCGCTGCATTGCATGAGGCAGAATGCGGTGTGAGCGATTGTATGGACATTGCAGCAGTTCTTCGAAATGAGACATTTTGGCACTTGACTAACTTTCAACAGATGAACACGTTTCGATTTTGTACTGAATTTAATATCTGCTTTGCAGAGGTTATATGTGAACCATAGGTATAAACGAACACAATAGGTACGGAAATATTTAATGAGGTAAAAGTCAGTTTGTGGTCAGGTACCTGTCAATGTCAGCTCAGGTATATTTATAAATATTTTGATCAAGATATCTACCATACGTAAAATTTTGTGGTGACGTAAGGTCGGCATTCACCGCTCAATGCAAATGTATTACAGTATCCGTTAAATTTTGGAATTTTAGCAAGCTCGATAATTTAGTGCCAAAATCAAACGGTTTTATTTTGAAATTTAATTTATGACTTCGTCGATTTTGGACCACATTTGGACATCTTTATGACATATTATATAATACGTTATTAATAATTAATCATTTATTAAAAACTTTAATCACAAGGAGCAAAAATACATTATTTTCAAAATCCGTTTGATTTTGACACGGTGCCAAAATTGAACCCCGTGAAAAAAGAACGATTTTGTGGTTTTGTTGTCAAAATCGAACGAGTACACACTTGATCTAGCTCGGTAAAATCTTCCAAAAGCCGATTACCTCGGCATTTGCTTTTGCTGATATCTCTGCAAAATATCTGTTTGTTAGCTGATATCTCTGCAAAATATCTGTTTGTTAGCTGATATCTTAGCAAAATGTTATTTGTTAGCTGAGTCTCAGAAATTGTTTTACTGAATCTCAGCAAAATTAATTGCAGAATCACTAGGTTGTTGGAATCTCAGCGAAAAAAAACGAGAAGAAGTGTGTACTGTATCATTATTTACATACAATTACAACAAATACCAATAACATAATTTCAATAATTACCAGTAGAATCGTTAATCATAATGCTATAAGGGTTGATGCATATATTATATCACGCTCAAGGGGGGGGGGGGGTCTAAGATTTTGTGACAAGCAATGCATTAGGTATAAGTAAAACGTCACGATAGGGGGGGGGGTAATTTTTTGCTCGATTTAGCGTGACATAATTAATGCATGAGCCCTAATGTGTAAGTAAGAAAAAAATGATAATCATAATTATACAGTGAGTGGTGAATGGAGGTTACGTGAACGGTGCATGGCGACCTTACGGTATTTCCTTTATTTTTTGTAAGTTTCTTAATTTGTGTCAAAACTTATAAATAGTTAAATATGCCCAAACCAAATGGTTTACACAAAAATAGTAGTTTCAAACGTAGCATGGTTATAAAAAAACTGCGTTAAAAAAACTCAGTGTATAAAGATGCTCCCAGGTTGGCGGGGCTTTCTCTCTACGAGAAATGTTAACCTTGGTCCGGATTTTCAACCCCAACTGATGGATGATGATCGTATTTGCTTTGAAAACGTGCATGGGATCAACATTTTTATTCGGATCTTGAACTGAAAGTGGAGAAAAATAATATCCATTCGGTGCCGTTGTGACCGGATTCACAGAACAAGCGGCTGGGTGTGAACCCATTTCTTTATTTTTGCATTCTGAATTGGGTTTACAAGTAAACATCTGTGCACTGACGACGCACTGACGAACAACAAGGACGTTGCTGTTGTGAGTAGAATTGTAAATAAACAATTTACGCACATCGTATGTACCGAAGAGCAATGCTACGAGTATTAAATTATGATGTATTTTGGAGGAAAACTGTATTTTTAAATTGTTTATTGAACTTGTCAGAGCTTCAAAAGTCAATGACACGTTTGTCGTCTGATTGCATGCAAATAACAAAAGCAAATAAAGAAGCAATGCTGCGTAGGTGGACTACTCAGGGAGAGTATTTCATGCATCACAGTAACATATACATACGAACAATATACTGGGTGCTTAATACAAGCGCTAACGATAGAATTATACTTTGAAAACAGAGCGTAAAGCAAATCTATAAATATTCATGTCAAAATCCTCAACACGAGAAATGTTGTCCAAGATCAGTAATCACATGAGAAAGATTTGTGAAGCGAATTCAAAGATAATTGAATCATTCTTAAATCAATACAATTTTGATCAGACGTATAATACTTACTCATTTATTGGCGTGTTTTTGGAGGAACTGTAAAGATAAACAATAAATTAGGTGATTAATTTGGTTAGGTGTATACAATTCGCGGTGTGAATTTTGCCCCACTTTAGAGTGACAAACAGTAATGTTGAAAATGACTACTATTTGTAGTACATATCAGATGTGCTATAGTACCGAAAGATGAAGGACATATATTTCATCAATCAAATCGTCAATGTTGGGAGTGATCAGATGTACCAGCCATTTCAATAAATCAATTATCTTGTCTCATTTTCCGGCAAAATCATTTTTCAGTTTTATAAATTTCAAATAATTTTCATTAAAAATTGCTTCCATTCACATAGTATATTTAAAGTTTAACGTATGGTAGCAATTTTTTTTTTGCTATTATATTAATAATGATTAACCAACATTTCTATTTATGAACATTACAGAAATTCATTGGTAATCATTGACCTCAATCAATTCTCTCATTGTTATGCTTATGATGGTTAAAGATCAATGATCGGCGAGATGGACCAGCCATGGTCTTAGCCTGAAGCAACAAAAAAAAAAAAAAAAAGATCAATGATAAATGTCTTAAAATTTATGCTTATGAATATTTTTTTCCTTTGATTTGTTTTCCGCTGATCAGTTTTCCGTACTGAGTACCAATGCTACCGACGCCAGGGAGGCAGCTCCTACACCTACCTATCAGCTCCAGACCCTACATATCGACCAATAAACTCATGAACCGAGGACCAACGGCCTCAAGTGAGTGCATTACGTTGTTCGCCAAGTTTTGAGCACACTCATGGGGTTTCTTTATCCCCTTCACACCATCATGAAGTATTTAAAGATTTGTAAACCATGGCCCACTTAGTAATGGAACAAACTCTTTTGCTTATTTAAGCGCTCCTAGTGAACGTTTTTGGAAGTTTTAGACGTCTATTTGTTGACAGCAGTGTATTGTAGTGTATTTTTTCAGTTCATAAAACGCTCTTGTTTTGGAGAGGAGAAAGAGGAGTGTAGAAAAAAAAATCGTGCGCAGTCACCTGAAAAATCCATCGTGGTCTGCTTCCAAGATGGCTAAAGTTTTTAATTATCCTAGAAACACTGTATGGCGCGTACTCAAAAATTACACGGGAACCTTGACGACGAATCGGAAGCCTCAAAATAAACGCCGGAGTGGAACTACCAACCGTCAGCTCCATGAAAAGGTCGTGAGGTCCATCAGAAGCAACCCAGGTAAGTCCGATCGTGATTTGAGTAATCAACCAAATCGATCATTCAATCAGAATACAGTAACTAGAACCCATGCTAGAAAGCTGTATGACAACCTGCTGACCAAGACCGGTGGGTTCATACTTATGGATGATGAAACCTATGTAAAGGCCTGCTTCGGACAGCTTCCAGGACCAACATTTTACAAGGCGAAGGCTCGAGGATGTGACCCTGGCAGATTCAAAATGGTTTTTGCGGATAATTTCACACAAAAAATATGATCTGGCACGAAATTTGCAGCTGCGCCCGGAAGACGCTGAGAAAATGATGAACTCGGAGGTTTACAAAACCGAATGTCTCCAGAAGCGAATTCTGCCCTTCATCCAGTCACGTTATGGTGCGCTGACATTTTTGCCGGATCTTGCTAGTTGGCCCTATAGCCGGGAAGTACAACAATAGTACAATGACAACGGAGTCCATTTTGTTCCAAAAACCCTCAATCCGCCTAATTGTCCCCAATAAAGGCCCATTGAAAACTACTGGGCAATTATGAAAAGGAAACTGAAGGCAAAAGGTACAGTCATCAAAACGGCAGCTCAGATGAAAAATTGGTGGGATAAAATCGTCAAACAGTGGTCGAGACCGTTGTGCGCCACTTGATGGGTCGTATTATGGGAAAAGTTCGAACATTCCTTCCTTTCCTTTCCCATAGAACTCTATTCAATATTTTTGGAATAGGACATCCTGAAATTGCCAATCGATCGTTTCATATAAGAAGCGTAAGAGTTGGTTACACCTGACCGATAGGTAACATTTAAGTAAGTGCTCGAATCAATTTATTTTATTTGTTTTGATGGTTAATGCTAGATGGGGGGAAGTGGTGAGACTCATACTGAAAGGGTACAAAACCAAAATTGATGACTGATGACTTCGAAAATGTAATTATGGGGAATTCTGATCTAGTTAGAACCGAAACCCATCTATGACCAAAGAGCGAACAGAAATGAAGGAACTTGAATTTTGTTGGTTGGTCAGAGAGATCTATTTAGTATTTCCCTTTTGGACCGCCAAGTAAAGAAGACTGAAAGTTAAAGTTGAAAATCTATGGAAAGTAGTACATTAATAGTGCAAGAATCGTCTTGAAAAATCAAAAATAAAATAGTGTAAAAGGTTAAAAAAATGGTGTATTTTCTAATTTTGAATCTTGAATAAATGTTTTGAAGAGATTATTTATGAATGTCTATTGTAATTAACTAAAAAACGTGATTAGCGTGTTGAAAAATTGATAATTAAAATAAGTGGCATTAAATTTTAAAGAAAATTAAAGTAGACTAATTAATGAATTTTAAATAAATTGATTATAGCGAGAATAATTATTAGAAATAAACCGTCATTGTCGACCCACATTGGTATCCACCCGACAATGAACTGCATGAAAATGGGCACACTGCAGTTTTATATGGAAAAAAAGAAATTACGGTGCGATATGTGTATGGAAAAATATAAGAAGAGTTCTTGTCCTACCTCTCTAAAATGTTTGGGAAGTTCGCATGCTCTCGTTGATTTTTCAAGATGCAAACAGCAGGGATAAAACTTAAGCGGTCTTTCAAACCTCGCTCTTCGTGGAACACCTTTGACCTTCTCCCAGATGATGATCAAGGCTCTGATCCTGAGGTTGGCAAGACAGATCATTTTGTTTTCAAAGGCTCACCTAGGAACCGATAGAGGAATGTCGCGCAGCTGTCTCGGAAACCATATCATATTGTTGTGGGTCATATAGGATAAATCAAAAAGTAACGGTGAAACCCTTAAGCTGGTTTTATATTATTCAATTTTGATAGGGACTTTTCGTTACTTCCGCGGAAAAGCTTGCAAGTGGCCATTGCTTTCGTCGTCCGTCAATATACGTTTGCCTCATATAGGATGACGGCTACTTGGGATGATGGAACATCGGGAACCATGTGGAATCAGTTGCACTCACAGCGGGTCAGCCACCTCCGAGTTTGTGTCATTAACTTTCAAGATAAATATGTTATACCTGTTTCGTCGATTTTTCCTTTTAATTCTACTACTTTTGTTTCACTTTCTCTTTCACTAATTTCTTTCACTAATTCACTTTCACTATTACTTTGAACTATAACAGATACGTATTTCATTTACTGCTTGCAAACTTCTTCAGTGTATAGTCATAGACAAGTAGTAAACGAAATACGTATCTGTTATAGTTCAAAGTAATAGTGGAAGTGAATTAGTGAAAGTGAATTAGTGAAAGTGAATTAGTGAAAGTGAATTAGTGGTACAAAAGTAGTAGAATTAAAAGGAAAAATCGACGAAAAAGGTATACAATTATTCTACTAAAACGCTCATCAATCAATTTAGATAAATATTTTGTTTGAGAAAAGGCGTTTTTATAAAAATAGTTCTAACTTCTTACGCACTCAACCAAATAAGTCCGATACTATACTGATAATCGATAATTTGATCAAAACCGGGAACAGCGGCATAATGTTGTAAAAAGAAATCTTGACAGTGCTCTGTAGCGTGTACCAAATTAGATTTATGAATGTTCAAAGTGAGTTTTATCTAAATTCGTAAGATTTTTTTAAAATGAATCTTTTATTGATATTTTTAGTCACCTCGTTTGCCATTTGGTCCTAATTATCCTAATTTTCGTTCCAGTCAGAAATATTCATAATACAAAATTTGTTATTTGGACATAAGTCGCCTTTTATTTTGATCGTCATTTTCCCTACTGCACTGTATCTTCTATCTTCATCGTGGCTCTAGAGTTCCAACTTGATCTTCACACCTGTCTTCAATTTTCTGTTTTTAAGCACTTCCATAGTTGTTAATTGTGAGATTTCTATGATTATGATTTTGCATTCGTATTTCCAGGGAAGTCAAGTCCTAGTCCGACTAGGATTTTAACCCGCCTCCTCCTGTGTGTTTTGGCGTTGTAGCATTGTCTTTACTAACTAGGATAGGTAAGGTCGTATCTATTGTGCACATTTGTTGGAAATTGAACTAACGACGTGTGCATCATGGTGGTGCTAATTGTTATTCCGGTTTCTTCCAACTCAAGAAATTCGATAGAATTAGGGTTGCCACATTTAAGTCTGTATTTTATATGAAAAAAACATCTATAAATCTGTATTTTGATGCAAAAATTTGTATTTTGATGCAAAAAATCTGTATCACTTGTTGAGCAAAGGTTACGAAAAATGCTTTCGCAAAATAATTTTTATTTGGAATTTTCCTGGTGGAAAAAAAAAACATTTTAAATTAAATATACTTCTTATTTATATATTGTATATAATGTATAATGTATTTAATGTATTTATTATATAAAAACAATTGCACTTGACACTTTCTGACATTTCGATATTTTAAAATGTTTGAAAGAGAAGAATCTTGCACTAATATTTGTTTGAGCAACATAGTAATTTTTCAGAACATGAAGTCTAAATATGTACACCGAAAACGGGGTAACATTGATAGTTTTTTAAAGTATATTCTAAATAATGTTTACAGCAATGAATGTTTTTTAAATTTTATATTTTTAAAACAAGTACTGAGGATCCAAGAGTCAGTTCGTTAGTACTATGTTTAACGAAAATTAAAGCATTTGCAGTATTTTTTTTAGTTTTGTGACCGAACTTCAGTTTTTTGATTTGGGGTTGCTTTGATAATGCTCGATGATAGAAAAAAATGGGTGAAACACAAACAATTTAGTTCTTTAAATATGAAACTTTGAATGAGTATATAATCAGAAAACATCATAAGCAATAAGAATACAACATTGAGTTTGTGATGGCTATATCGGAAAT